CGGGGGGCAGTGTGTTGGGGGGGTGGGGGGGAGCGGGTGAAGCTGGACATCCCTACTTCTCCCTGCCCCTTCCAAAGAGCAGGGAGCACCCAACCCGCCCCGTACGTGATGTGGCAAGGGGAAGCAGAGGGTGGCCACTGCCGTCTCACCAGGGAGAGTCACTTTGGGGCGCTTCAGCCCCAGCGGCCAGACTGCATACATGCCCAGCTTGAAGATGGGTCTTCGAACCATCAGCACCTCTTCTGCCCCCAGGCACAATTGCTCTCGGACAGTACAGAAGGTGCCAAGCCCCGCTACCAGGACACCCTGCACACAGAGAAGACGAGAAGGCCGACGCGTAAGCGTTCTGGAGATGGAAAAAGTGAGGACTGTCAGCGTGGGGGGATGCTGCTCTGTGGTAGAGTGCTGCTGAGGTACAGCGCGTCAAGATGGAGCCCTTTGGAAAGCTTTGGAGAAGAGCCACCCTCTCCGGCTTTTGTCCTCACCCTCCTCCAAGTATTTCTTAACATCCCAGAGCTCAAGAAGATGCCAGGGCTCTCTAAGAGCACAGACACAGGAGAACGCCCCTGTCTCTGTGCTTGGTCTCGCCGTTCCAGCCACAGGGAAAAGAGAAGGCCCACGACGTGCCGAATGCTTTCTCACACTAGATCTGCACGTGGTTTCTCTCCCAGTCTGCCGAGGAGCTGCTCTGCAGCATAGCGGTGGGGGGCAGCGTGCTGCCATGGTGCTGGGGGAAGGCTTGCTCGCTGGGGCCCAGGGCTCTGTGGACAGCTGAAACCCCCCAGGGCGAGGGCGACGAGGACGCCAGCGCACCTTGTCCAGCATCAGCTGTTCCAGGATGTAATCGGACACAGCATCCCAAATTGCGACAACCTCTGGAAAGCAAGGGGAGAGACGTGTCAGGCCCCAGGTCAGGCAGCTCACACCCTCTCAGCAAGCTGCTCACCCAGGGGATGACAGATGGAGGCGTACGCAAGCCCTCCGAGAAACCACCGCCCCAGCTGCGGAGCTGGCCTTTGCCCCCATTTCAGGCTGCCAGCCTTACGCTGAGCCCAGGGCTGGTCCGGAGCAGAAACAGGGACGGGGGAGGGCTGTGGCCGCTTGACCCCTGGCAAGGGACACCATCTCCAAACCCAAAACACGCTCTGCCCGCTGGAGACACCAGAGGATCCCAGGGGGAAGAAACAGCGGTTGTCCCACACAAGAAGCTGCCTTGGATTGACTACACGGTGAAGGATTCCTTTGCAACAGGGGCATCTGTGGCAGGCACTAGAGAGCCCCGTGGGAGTGCCAGGACACCTCAGCCTGCTGGATAAGGGACCCCTTCCCCGCCAGAGTCAGGTCCCAAAGGGAACAGGGGCAGACCTGACCGTGGATTGCCACCCCGTGAGCGGAGGGAGCTGTGCCTGCAGCAGCCTCGGGGCTCAGGGCAGCCCCAGCACCTAGCCCTTACCCTCAGTGGAGAGCTGCAGGAGCGTTGGGAACAAGATCCTCTGCTCCGGGCTGATGGTCTCAGTCCAGCAGCCCTCCATCTCGCTTGCCCCCTTGTCCTCAGCTCGCCTCTCCAGCATGGGAAAAAGGACGCCCTTCCCGCCTCCTTGCCCCAAAACTCCTCTCCAGCGTGCGCCCGCCTCCAGCTGCCTCCCGTCCCCGCTCGTTGCCACGGGGCGGCTCCGAAGGGTAGCGGTGGGGAGCACCGCGACCAGTGCCCAGCAGTGCCCAGGCCTGGCAAGGAAGTGCGAGCCCTGCTGCGCCGTGGAGGACAGCACTGGGGAAGGATACCTCCTTGTGATGCAGCATGTCCCATTGTAACCTCAGCCCGTGTCATCTGGGGGTTCGTTAGGTCACCGGCACACAGATGACACATCCCGGGAAGGAGTAGAGGGATTTCTCCTCTCGCCCTGGGAAGCAGGCACCTCCCTTCACCCCAGCTATTTGGCAAAAGTCGCTGACAGGTACATCGGCAACGTCTGTAAAGGGTGCCAAAGCCTGTGAAATACCAACAATGGGGCACTGTGGAAGCCGTTTCCGCCCCCAGGCACTGACAGGTCTCTGCTACAGGGAACCCTTGCCTGTGGTGTAGCTTTGCTTGCCGGGCTACTGCTGGCTGGTACAATTGCACCAAGATGTGAATTCCCCTTGCCTAGAAACACCCAAATTCTTCCTCCTACTTCCTCTGCTGGGAGAAATCAGCCCAGCCTCTTCTTGATCCGATGGCAAAAGAAAGAAGGAAAACCGGAAGCAAGTGTCAGATATAAAGTCATCTGTAGCGGGCCATGCTGTTACAGACTCACAGACTCACAGACTCACAGACTGGTTGAGGTTGGAAGGGACGTCTGGAGATCATCTGCTTGAGCCCTGCTCAAGCAGGGTCACCTAGAGTACGTTGCCCCGTATCGTGTCCGGGTGGCTTTTGAACATCTCCAAGGAAGGGGACTCCACAACCTCTCTGGGCAGCCTGGTCCAGGGCTCAGTCACCCTCCCAGGAAAGAAGTTTTTCCTCACGTTCAGACGGACTTCCTGTGTTTCAGCTTGTGCCCGGTTGCCCCTTGTCCTATCACTGGGCACCACCGAGCCCATTGCTGCCTCACGCTCAACTTGTTGTCCCCCAGCACTCCCAGGTCCTTCTCCGCAGAGCTGCTTTGCAGCAGGTCAGCTCCCAACCTGTGCTGGTGCGTGGGGCTATTCCTCCCTAGGTGCAGGACCCTGCACTTGCCTTTGTTGAACTTCAGGAGGTTGCTCTCTGCCCATCTCTCCAGCCTGTCCAGGTCCTTCTGAATGGCAGCACAGCCCTCTGGGGTATCAGCCACTCCTCCCAGTTGCGTATCAGCCGCAAACTTGCTGAGGAGGCCCTCTGTCCCTTCATCCAGCTCATTGATGAAGTTGTTGAACAGGAGTGGACCCGCTATTGACCCCCCCCGGGGGACACTGCTAGCTACAGGCCTCCAAGTAGACTCTGTGCCGCTGAGCACAGCCCTCTGAGCCCTGCCTGGCGTTGCCCCGGGGAGCAGAAAGCGGTGCTGCTGGGCCCAGCGTTATTTCAGAAACGCCGGCGTGTAAGGGCCTTTCCAAGAACCTGCCTTGTTCCCTTTCCGTGGTCGATAACACTGAGCTTGCGCACGGCTGCTTCTTGAACGCTCCCTCAGGGAGGAACTGAGCGTTGGGGCCCCCCTGAGGAGGGCGCGGCCCCCTCATTGCCTGCGCACGAGGCCGGCAGACCTCACTTTGAGAGTTTGGCTTTGCCTTTTGCAAGGAGTATTAGAAGGGAAAAGCCCCAGCTCCGCTGCAACGCAGGAGTGCTAGCGGGGCAAGGCGTGAGGCCTCAGAGAGGGGCAGAGAGGCTGGTGAGGCAGGAATGAGGGAAGGGTCAGAGGAGAATGGGAAAGAGAGAGACCCCAGCAAGCAGACAGGCACCAGACAGCACCGGTGGGAGCTGCTGCACTCTCGTGCTGGCTCTCGGCCCCAGAGGTGCCTTCCCTGGGGTCTGGCCAGCCTGTGGGTCCGTTCAGGCTTTGTGCTGGGGGAAGGTGGCTCCAGGCCATGCCAGGGAGTGGCCACCGTCCGCCAGGGCCATCCTGGAGGAGAAACCGCAGCGTTTTGTAGTGGGACAGGGCGAGCAAAAGACTCGGAGCCCAAGGCAGAGCTCTGGCAGCATTTTGGCGGCTGAGTCACAAACTCTCCCCGCAAAACCTTCCCCTCATCTCTTGACTAGCAAGAGAGTCCCTAAAACGTCCTGCTAGGGCATGGCCCAGAGCAAGAGCCTCCCGGGACGGGGGCTGCCTGCTCTCCTTGCACCCACGTGCCCCTTTCGGGTCCCTCCAAAGCTGCCCTGCCGCCCCTTGCAGTTTCACACCCCACCAAGGAAAGGCTCACACCAGCTCGGAAAGGCAGTTTACTTCCAGAGCAAAAACCCCTTTCCGTTGTCACCGCCCAGCTTGTGGTCCCGCTGCTCGTTGCTCTGGAGGCTGCACATCACCAAAGCGCTGAGGGGTTGAGGAGAAAGATGTTGAGCCACTCGTGGCGCGCAGGCGCCTTCTGGAAATCCAGTGGCGCATCCCGGCCCCCCACCCCGTTTCAGTGGAAGGGATGTGTGAGTCCAGGCCAAGCTCCAGAGCCGCTTCTGTGCCCTGGGGTGGGGGGTGGGGGAGGGCACAGGAAAAGACCCTCTTTCTCCCCCAGGCCGTGGCACAAAGGGCTTTGCAGGAGGGGGGAACCCTGCCTGGGTTGGGAGCTATTTACCGGCGATCCTCCTCCTCCTTCTTCAGCCTCTGGCGGTTTTGCTCCACCTTTTCCTTCCAGCTGTCCCGAAGAACTTTGTAGGATGCCGTGAGCTGCACGTTCTGCTTTGCTCGCGGCGACAGTTGCCTGCAGCAGGAGTAACAAAGTCCCTCTCCCGCTCTCCTGGTACCCTTTGGGCCTCTTCCCTCCCCAGCCCCTGCACACCCACACCAGCAGAAATCAGGGGCTGTCGCATGCCACGCCCCGGAGCTGAGGGATTTGGGGTGCCGGCACCTCCAGGGGGTCATGGCCCACCAGCCCAAGCCCCTGGCTTGGAGCTCGCGCGCCTGTGCACACTCACTTTTTGGGTGGCATGCCTGTGTCTAGGGAACAGCGCTGGTCAAGGTGAAGCTGCTTCGTCAAAATTCGGATCTGTTTTGCAAGGGCAAGAAGAGCAAAGGGTTTCAGGACGGAGGGCTGAATGGGGGAGACAGCACTGGCCCACCCGCAGGGGAGGAGCCTCGTCCTTGTATAGCCATGCGCAGGCTACACAAGGAGCTGCTACAGCGGGCTGCCCTAGCTGGGGCC